CCTGCATGCTATTAAAGGGGCAGATTGCCTTGTTACGGAGCCTTTATCTCATCATTTCTTTGGTGGGCAGGGACATCCGGACACCTGTTTTGCAGTGCCACAATCTCCCTCAGTCTCAACATTTATCCAAACCCTTTACCTAATGCCCTTTGTAAGCAGCAAAAAGGCTTTATTGCAAGGGTGGTACCTTCCTCACTGATCATTGTAACAGCCAGCTAAGAGTTACAAGGCTAACTCACACAAACTGCACTTCAAATTTTCAGCCACCTAAGGTCTCTGTTACTTCCAATATCAGGGTTAGTGAGGTAGGGTTGTACGTTTTCATATAGATGTAAAATCCCAGGGAGAACTGGAAGTTCTGGCACAGTCAAGGAATTATGATGTGACTGGAATAACAGAGACTTGGTGGGATAACTCACATGACTGGAGTACTGAATGAGGGAGGCAACCTAGTGACAGAGGATGTGGAAAAAGCTAATGTACTCAATGCTTTTTTTGCCTCTGTTTTCACTAACAAGGTCAGCTCCCAGACTGCTGCGCTGGGCATCACAGCGTGAGGAGTAGATGGCCAGCCCTCTGTGGAGAAAGAGGTGGTTAGGGACTATTTAAAAAAGCTGGACGTGCACAAGTCCATGCGGCTGGATGCACTGCATCTGAGGATGCTAAAGGAGTTGGCAGATGTGATTGCAGAGCCATTAGCCATTATCTTTGAAAACTCATGGCAATCGGGCGAGGTCCCGGATGACTGGAAAAAGGCTAATGTAGTGCCCATCTTTTAAAAAAGGGAAGAAGGAGGATCCGGGGAACTACAGGCCAGGCAGCCTCACCTCAGTCCCTGGAAAAATCATGGAGCAGGTCCTCAAGGAATCAATTTTGAAGCACTTAAAGGAGAGGAAAGTGATCAGGAACAGCCAGCATGGATTCACCAAGAGCAAGTCCTGACTAACCTAATTGCCTTCTATGATGAGATGACTGTCTCTGTGGATGAGGGGAAAGCAGTGGACTTGTTATTCCTTGACTTTAGCAAAGCTTTTGCCACAGTCTCCCACAGTATTCTTGCCAGCAAGTTAAAGAAGTATGTGCTGGATCAATGGACCATAAGGTGGATAGAAAGCTGGCTAGATCGTCAGGCTCAACAGGTAGAGATCAATGGCTCCATGTCTAGTTGGCAGCCGGTATCAAGCGGACTGCCCCAAGGGTCAGTCCTGGGGCTGGTTTTGTTCAATATCTTCATTAATGATCTGGAGGATGGCGTGGATTGCACCCCCAGCAAGTTTGCAAATGACACTAAACTGGGAGAAGTGGTAGATACGCTGGAGGGCACGGATAGGATACAGAGGGGCCTAGACAAATTAGAGGATTGGGTCAAAAGATATCTGATGAGGTTCAACAAGGACAAGTGCAGAGTCCTACACTTAGGAAGGAAGAATCCCATGCACTGCTACAGATTAGGAACCGAGTGGGCAGCAATTCTGCAGAAAAGGACCTGGGGATTACAGTGGACGAGAAGCTGGATATGAGTCAACAGTGTGCCCTTGTTGCCAAGAAGGCCAATGGCATTTTGGGATGTATAAGTAGGGGCATAGTGAGCAGATCGAGGGACGTGATCGTTCCCCTCTATTCGACACTGGTGAGGCCTCATCTGGAGTACTGTGTCCAGTTTTTGGCCCCACACTACAAGAAGGATGTGGAAAAATTGGAAAACATCCAGCGGAGGGCAACAAAAATGATTGGGGAAGGAGCACATGACTTATGAGGAGAGGCTGAGGGTACTGGGATTATTTAGTCTGCAGAAGAGAAGAATAAGGGGGGATTTGATAGCTGCTTTCAACTACCTGAAAGGGGGTTTCAAAGAGGATGGCTCTAGACTGTTCTCAATGGTACCAGATGATAGAACAAGGAGTAATGGTCTCAAGTTGCAGTGGGGGAAGTTTAGGTTGGATATTAGGAAAAACTTTGTCACTAGGAGGGTGGTGAAGCACTGGAATGGGTTACCTAGGGAGGTGGTGGAATTTTTTTCCTTAGAGGTTTTTAAGGTCAGGCTTGACAAAGCCCTGGATGGGATGATTTAGTTGGGGATTAGGTCCTGCTTTGAGCAGGGGGTTGGACTAGATGACCTCCTGAGGTCCCTTCCAACCCTGATATTCTATGATTCTATGATCCTCACACTTGTATAATGTGGGGACTCTCATGAGCCTGCACTGAGGGCTCCTGGAAGAGTTTAAAAGCAGATGGCTGCCTGAAAGGGTGAGCTCCCTACCCACCTGCCAGCATCCACCTCCATCCATGTTTAGCGGTAAAGAGAGATTTTCAAAAATAATGGGAAAGCTGCACGAGGGGCTGTCCCTTTTGACAGGGCCGGATAAGTAAAGAATTTGTACAAAATAAAAGAAGAAATACAGCTAAAATCAGAAAAAAAAAGATGGCCCCTGACCAGAGCTTCCTGAGAGAGCTGATGGTAAAGAAAAGAATCTCCAGTGCTGCTATTAACCAGGAAATGCAGAATGAACTGAAGGACTTCAGAAAAGACTCATCTCCCTCCTTGGAGAGGTAAATGACTTAGTTACTGTAACCTAAGAGTTTGGTCAGAAAAGAAATGCAAGTAAAAGTTTTGGAGTTCAAAACTACTTATTTAATTGAGGAAACAATCTCTGTGAGAGGCAAAGCTATGATTTTCCTCTGTACAACGAAGTAAAATAAATCTGTCCACTAACACCAAACACGAGTGCCTTGGCTCAGATTACACACACTTCGGCACTGGGGTAAACTTTCAAACTCACAGAAAATATTTTCATAGGAAGACATATGTTCGTATTGTGTGATCACCTTCCAGTAGTGTGAACAACATCTGTCACATGGTGATTGTTCTCTGATCCTCTCTTGCAGAGTGTATGTGTATGTACAGTGATGCATCTTGTTTTGGTAGGATTTTAGGGTTTGTTTTGTTGTGTTTTTTTAAGCAAAAAAATCCCCCCACCCCTTCTCGCTCTCTCTCAGTGTTGAAGAGAGACCCACACAGACTTCATCTGGAAAAAGGGGCCCTGAAGGAAGATTTAAAGCAAGCACAAAATGAGGGATTCTTATGGCTCCACAAGCAGCACATGGGGTCAGCTCTGAGGATAAAAAAGTATATCTAGGAAAGTTATAAAGTGCATGAAATCACAGAAGCATAGTCCCCTGGTGATTGTGCAAGGAGCTGGAACTATTATTCCATGATCCTGGCAAAAAGAAGCATGCGTAGCACCACTAACTAGGGAATTTCCAAAGTGCTCTGGCTTGCACTTATTCATCAAGGATTGCATCAATGGTAGATGGTTGGTGGAAGTCCCCACAGTGCTAGTTCAGTGTCAAGATGAATATGGAGCATGATGCGGTCCCTGAATAGTCCCTTTCTACCAGCAGCACTTTAAAGATGCTAATTGTTCTCTTTGTCACGTCATTAACAGTTTTATCTATGACAGGCATTTGACCTTGGACTGTAACTTCCTGGCCAAGTGTAGGCACATTCCCATGCTCCATTAAAGTAAGACACCCCATGAGGCTTTGCACTGTGCATTAGAGAAGGAGCTGGCGTGAAAAGGGGCATCACCTACCACATGAGGGAGCTCTGAGGAAGCTCAGCTGCAGTTCACCAGAAGCAGCAGTCACTGCAAAAGCACTATACTTTGGAATGGATATGGGAGGTCTCTGGCAATTAGGTTTCATAGCAGAAGATATTAATGTGGAATTTTTTGTTTCAATAGCCACCACAGCTGACTACTAAAATAAAATTTTTAAAAAAATCACAGACATTTCTTGGTCATCCTTTAGAGTAAGATTCCATTTGTAAATGGCTTATAAAGGGTTAATGATTAATAGCTGTTACAGACATGAGTAATATTTGGTTATAAGCATATCAGTAGAAGGTGTTATAGATGTTTCTAAGCAATCTAGAGACCTGTTGGACTCTATAACAATCAATTAATTAGTTATTAAAAGATACATTAATCCTTTAGATCCTTTAGATCCAATCCATATAGAAGTGGAACTTTAATATAAAGTGTGTCCTATTTATTAACTCCAACTTCTCTCAAGAGAGTATGTTAGAGAATGTCTCCCACATGGCACCTTGATTTGGAAGGAGTTATATTCTATCTATGGTTTACCATGAAAACAGAAGGCATTCTAAGAATGGGAACAAGATATCTTCCTTCCCAACCTGCCAGCCCTATCAACAGATGTTAATTCAAATGGACCCTCCAGTACTTTAGAAGTTCACCCATCACATGTTGAAATAACATTAAAAAAGAGCCATAAAAATTGGCACTGCAGTTTTCCAAGTGTTCTTCTTGCTAGCAGAAAAACACCACGCAAAGCCAACCTGACATGTCCTGCGGGTGCTTTTCCTCCTTATAATTGTAACTGACAGTGTGAATTCAGTTATCACACACCAGAAAACCAGGTACCATCCAGTTCCTGTCCTAGTGAACAGAGTTTCCTTTTCCTCTCCGTAGTTAAATCCAAAGTTAATTAGGGTGACCAGATGTCCTGATTTTATAGGGACAGTCCCGATTTTTGGGTCTTTTTCTGATATAGGTTCCTATTACCCCCTACCCCATCCCAATTTTTCACATTTGCTGTCTGGTCACCCTAAAAGGGACATCATTTTTCCATTTAGGGGGTAAGTGTCCAAACCTGGCAGCTAAAGCTTTTCCCCACCCTTTCTGACCGACAATTGAAATGAAGCTGAGGGTGCAAATAAGAGCCACCTACCTATCAACCACTTCCTACACACCACAGCTAAACTATATCACACATCATCAGTTTCATTCTCTCGCACAGATCTAGACAGCAAAAGGATGATATGCTGACCAGAGAGAAATGTCCTAGCTGTGCCCTCAAAATGGCTATCCCTTTCTCTGTCATAGTGCAATCGACAGATCATTGATTCACCGAGTGAAAGCTCCTTAACCTTTGACAATCCTCCTCCTCGTTGTGTCGAAAATACGTGAGCAGGTTACATGGAGCTCATTTTTCTTTTGTTGTGGGCCATGCTCAGATCCGGAGAGGCAACTGGACATGGAAATGGTAAGAGATCACTGCTGCTTTCTGGAAAGTAAAACCAGGTTTACTATTGCTTGGTTGCTCTGGCATAGGTTATTGACACGCTGACTGCTTTAAGGTAAGGCAAGAGGTTAGTAGATTAAAGGAGCTTAGTATTCTAAGGAAGCAAGAGAAATGTGCCCACAAACCATCAACTGGAGACAATCCAGAGTGGGAACATTCATGTTTTGTCTGAGTAACATATGACTCTTCTAACCCATCACTGGAACAGTGGGCAGATCAAAGGAATCCTAAGCACTCTTCTAGCGCAAATAGCTCTTTGAATTTTTTTTTTCCATTTTGCATGAAACTTTAGGAAATATAAAAATAGAAATTGAAATGTCAATAGCCTCCTCAGATAACTTGCAAGTGACTTTGGTGTACTTGCCAGTAGCAGATACATAATCAAGGTTTGCTACAGATGTGATTAATACCAATTATGCTTTTTCACCCCTTTAATAAATGCTTCCTATTCATTCTAGAAGAAATTAGATTAACCATTCACCTCACACTACAGGTTTATATTAGTATTACCTGTTGGGGTATTCATGTACACTAAGAAATTATGTAATACGTAAGTAATTGGTGCCAGTGTTTGAGTCTGAATTAGTATGTTTGAATGCAAAGATGTCTATAAAGTCAGTACCTGTGATATTTCTATTCTAAACATCTCAAGGATTTCCAGCTTCAGAGGTAAGAGATGGGTAAGAAATTCAGAAAGAAATTCTTTCATGGAAACTCAGACGAACTGAAGATTGTATTGCTAATTGCTCACTTCCAGCACTGGATACTGAAATTGTACCAGAAAAGCAATTGTAATTTTGAGAGGAGATTGTATTGTATATAACGGAACAACTTGAACTGGCTGTTGCCCCAGTCTACTCATAAACAAAATGTTAATCTCCAGGCAATTTTATCTTCAGAGAATAATGCATTGAAACATCTGCATCTTTTTATTAAATGGAGACATTTTAATGGCCAAATGAAATGCCAACTTCCCTTACATGATTTTAAATGATGCATGTGACAGTCTCACTGTGAAATGTTCAGCAGGAGATACGTAAATGGAATCAGTTCTGGGATGAGTCAAGTCCTGTGTATCATGTTCTTTGTATTACTGTGCCTTGGGAGAGTACCCACTGGGAGAGTACAGTCTGAGATCTGAATTTATCAGACGCCTTTCTTAGAATCACGGAAAAACTGAGGGGTGTGTAACACTTGCATTTCATACTGAAGTCTGCAATTGAATTCTGTGACGAATTTATAAATATAGAAAATTAACTTAAGATATTTCCATATAGTTATCTCTCCTGCATTACACCCCCTCTTCCCTTCGCTTCCTGTACTTACTTTGAATGCCTGTCCCGATACTTTCATAATTTTTAACTTCATTTTGTTATTCTCTTGAAAATAATGCCCTTTGAAACTGAAACGTAACTCTAGCTTTTGACACGGTCTCCCAGAGTATTCTTGTCAGCAATTTCAAGAAGTATGGGCTGGATGAATGCACTATAAGGTGGATAGAAAGTTGGCTAGATTGTCGGGCTCAACGGGTAGTGATCAATGGCTCCATGTCTAGTTGGCAGCCGGTGTCAAGTGGAGTGCCCCAGGGGTCGGTCCTGGGGCCGGTTTTGTTCAATATCTTCATAAATGATCTGGAGGATGGTGTGGATTGCACTCTCAGCAAATTTGCGAATGATACTAAACTAGGAGGAGTGGTAGATACGCTGGAGGGCAGGGATAGGATACAGAAGGACCTAGACAAATTGGAGGATTGGGCCAAAAGAAATCTGATGAGGTTCAATAAGGATAAGTGCAGGGTCCTGCACTTAGGACGGAAGAACCCAATGCACCGCTACAGACTAGGGACCGAATGGCTAGGCAGCAGTTCTGCGGAAAAGGACGTAGGGGTGACAGTGGACGAGAAGCTGGATATGAGTCAGCAGTGTGCCCTTTTGCCAAGGAGGCCAATGGCATTTTGGGATGTATAAGTAGGGGCATAGCTAGCAGATCGAGGGACGTGATCGTCCCCCTCTATTCGACATTGGTGAGGCCTCATCTGGAGTACTGTGTCCAGTTATGGGCCCCACACTACAAGAAGGATGTGGATAAATTGGAGAGAGTCCCGCGAAGGGCAACAAAAATGATTAGGGGTGTGGAACACATGACTTATGAGGAGAGGCTGAGGGAACTGGGATTGTTTAGTCTACAGAAGAGAAGAATGAGGGGGGATTTGATAGCTGCTTTCAACTACTTGAGAGGTGGTTCCAGAGAGGATGGTTCTAGACTATTCTCAGTGGTAGAAGAGGACAGGACAAGGAGTATTGGTCTCAAGTTGCAGTGGGGGAGGTTTAGATTGGATATTAGGAAAAACTTTTTCACTGGGAGGGTGGTGAAACACTGGAATGCATTACCTTAGCTCTGAGCCACCGCGGGGAGCTGCAGGCTCAGAGCTGGGGAGCAGATGCCTGCTGTGCCACAAGGAACACCAGAGACGAATGTGTTGAGCAGCTGGGGAGAGCAAGGGGGGGCCCCTGAGCAGCGAGGGCCCAGTGCGGGGAGATGGCATCAGAGAAGAGGTCTGGCAGGCCAGATTTGGTGGTGGGGACATGACCCCAATGGGGTGGAGGGTGGGGGCGACTCTGGGAAGAAAGGCTCTGCACCTAGAGGGTATGTGGCCACTGACCCCTGTGTCACTGCAGAACAGCCAGGGCCTGAGAAGGAGGCCTGGGATGTGTGAGGAACAGACTGAACTTTCCTTACGTCCTAGAGACAGCTGTGTGTGGTTTCCCCATGCCCACGGGGCGGGGTTCCTTGTTTCCTTTAATCTTTCCCATTTTTTTCCTTATAGTTGTTGTTTAATAAATTGTATTTGGTTTGAACTTAAAGTAATGATCAGTGGGTCAGGGAAGTGTCCTGCGCAGAGAGAGTACTCCAGAGTGGGGACATCCTAACTCCCGTTCTAAATGACCATGGCAAGACTGGGGGTTAAGACTCCCAGGAATCCTGGGCCCAGCCTTACAAGGACTCTGGTGTAAGGCACAGTAAAAGGGGAGTCCTCAAGGTCAGGCAGGCCTCTGGGTAAAGGGAGTTGGAGCAGGGACTCAGATCCTTTCACTAGCAATTCCATGGGGTATTCCATGCATAAGCCAGGAAAGTTCTCATAGCGGGACCATCCCGCTGCTTACATACAGTAGCTGGGGGAGGGAAGAAAACCATTTCTGTATTTTGAGTTGGGATACTTCACTTTTGTGGGCTCCTAATACGTTGTTCTTGTTGTGTTTTCTTGGGGTATTGTAATAAATATCTTGGTTTTAAAAAAAAATCTCCCAAATCTTGGCTAGCCAGTACATTGGTGGCTTAGTCCCCCGCTGAGAATAGACAATAAGCTAGATCTAGGTTAGGTTTTTCTCCCCTGCTTCATGGCTCTGTTTATTGTCTTCACAAACAAGAAGGAAAAGTGTGCAAAAAGTAACACAAGCAACAGTCTGGGTAGGGGATCAGGATGCAATCCTCTGGTCTCTGCTAGCTACCAGGTAGGGCCCGCTCTGACTTCACAAGGAGGCTCCACAGGGGCAGAGTTGGCTGCTCCCTGTTCCCCCCACCTCTGCAGGCTATTAAAGGGGCAGATTGCCTTGTTACAGAGCCTTTATCTCATAATTTCTTTGGTGGCCAGGGACATCCAGACACCTGTTTTGCAGTGCCACAATCTCCCTCAGTCTCAACATTTATCCAAACCCTTTACCTAATGCCCTTTGTAAGCAGCAAAAAGGCTTTATTGCAAGGGTGGTACCTTCCTCACTGATCATTGTAACAGCCAGCTAAGAGTTACAAGGCTAACTCACACAAACTGCACTTCAAATTTTCAGCCACCTAAGGTCCTTGTTACTTCCAATATCAGAGTTAGTGAGGTAGGGTTGTACATTTTCATATAGATGTAAAATCCCAGGGAGAACTGGAAGTCCTGGCACAGTCAAGGAATTATGATGTGACTGGAATAACAGAGACTTGGTGGGATAACTCACATGACTGGAGTACTGAATGAGGGAGGCAACCTAGTGACAGAGGATGTGGAAAAAGCTAATGTACTCAATGCTTTTTTTGCCTCTGTTTTCACTAACAAGGTCAGCTCCCAGACTGCTGCGCTGGGCATCACAGTGTGGGGAGTAGATGGCCAGCCCTCTGTGGAGAAAGAGGTGGTTAGGGACTATTTAGAAAAGCTGGACGTGCACAAGTCCATGGGGCCGGACGAGTTGCATCTGAGAGTGCTAAAGGAATTGGCGGCTGTGATTGCAGAGCCATTGGCCATTATCTTTGAAAACTCGTGGCGAACGGGGGAAGTCCCGGATGACTGGAAAAAGGCTAATGTAGTGCCAATCTTTAAAAAAGGGAAGAAGGAGGATCCTGGGAACTGCAGGCCTGTCAGCCTCACCTCAGTCCCCGGAAAAATCATGGAGCAGGTCCTCAAAGAATCAATCCTCAAAGAATCAATCCTGAAGCACTTACATAAGAGGAAAGTGATCAGGAACAGTCAGCATGGATTCACCAAGGGAAGGTCATGCCTGACTAATCTAATCGCCTTCTATGATGAGATTACTGATTCTGTGGATGAAGGGAAAGCAGTGGATGTATTGTTTCTTGAGTTTAGCAAAGCTTTTGACATGGTCTCCCACAGTATTCTTGTCAGCAATTTCAAGAAGTATGGGCTGGATGAATGCACTATAAGGTGGGTAGAAAGTTGGCTAGATTGTCGGGCTCAATGGGTAGTGATCAATGGCTCCATGTCTAGTTGGTAGCCGGTGTCAAGTGGAGTGCCCCAGGGGTTGGTCCTGGGGCCGGTTTTGTTCAAAATCTTCATAAATGATCTGGAGGATGGTGTGGATTGCACCCTCAGCAAATTTGCGGATGATACTAAACTAGGAGGAGTGGTAGATATGCTGGAGGGCAGGGATAGGATACAGAGGGACCTAGACAAATTGGAGGAT